AATCGGGTCACGACCAAATTCGGAGGGGTCAGAACGGATTAACCGTATTTACATTGAACCTTATGGGAAAATTTGATTCAAGTCGCGACCAATTAGGGTCACAACCAGAGTCGCGGAACGAATTAAGTTCGTGAACCGAGGTACCACTGTATACTCCTATGATTCTTGCCACTTACATGAAAATTCATGATAGTGGAGATTTTGTCAGTCGTAATAGGAATAAAAGAGCTCTGAGCTCTGAGCTCTGTCAACACCAGTGTTGTCACAAAAATCTTAATAATGTTGTGTTAGCCCCTGAGGCTTGCAAATGACAGGCCTCTGAGATTATACACTTGATCTCTCATCTGAGACCCAGGGAAGGTTCTTAGAGATATTTAATTCTTCCTGCTTTAATTAAAAAGTTTATAAATGGAGGTTCTCTGTTCTGGCTACACCGTTTACAAGTATTGATAAATCTGGCAGTATTCGTAAGAATAAAGGCAGAGCAATTATAGTCACCATCTTCAAAAAGTAGAAGAGATGTTCCTGCCTGCCAGGCACCTCCAAGGGAAATTAAGGGACTGGCTGAAGGAAGAAAATTTGATAGCTGAGAGGCTATCTTAGTGAGAAATACTCACCAAATGCTATAATCTCCTCATATGTACCCTTCATAGATTTACAGTCAGTACTTGATTCTAGTTCCAATGATAGTCCCTGGAGAAAATTGGAAGTTTCTTTGATTGATCCCCATTTATTATTTCTTGTTTCAAGTCTTTATAACAGCACTTCTTTGAAGGTAAAATGTAGTCCTTAGGGATATTTATCACATGCTGTTCCAACATCTAAAGTGTTTAAATAAGGCTGCATACTTGTTCCACTTTTGTTTAATAATAGTATCCATGACATGGTGAGTCACTTAGGCAACCTGAATGTTCATCCTCCTAAGGTGGCAGATGGGCATATCTCCATCCTACTCTATGTGGATAATACAGTGATGCTGTCAAGCTCCCAAGAGGCTTTAGAAGAGCCTTGCATGTCCTGGTACAGTATTGCCAAGAAGACCAAGTAACAATCAATTATAGTAAAACTAAGTTTATAGTTTTTGCAAAGACATGGTGCATAAGAGCTGTATTTTGTCATATTTCTAGTTATATTTTTGTCAAATAAGAAACGAATATACAATTTATAACTCTCTATGTGAGTTATAAATTGTATTTTAAATAGTTTCTTTCTTATTTGGAGTCTCTCCTTTTATATACTGTAATATTCTTATACTGTGATCTAAATTGTATTTTTCATTTTTTATGGCAGAAGGGATATTCTTATATGCGGGCCAAAGTCCATAACATCTTCTTGTAGCACTTACTGAGCTTAAGTATTTCAGGAAATAGTGCTACCCTTTAGTAACAAGGTGCTATTTTTCTTCCTACCCTGCAAATGACTAATGCATCCAAGGTTAAGAGACTCTAATTTTCTAGGACTGGAGTCTTGATTCTGATTATCCTGAACAGAAATGAGTGAGAATGTAGCTTCCTCTTGAAAAACTGCCACAAAATATAGGTTTTGCTCTACATGCCT